ATAATCTATACCCACATCTAACTGTTAATTTTCATTCTCTCTCGTCTTCCTTCGTGACAATTCAGTGGCGACAGATTGAGTTTGTTGGTTTTTTTTTCAATCTATTAATCTATGTATCTCTTGTTGGGGGTGTTTATAAGATTTCAGAATTTTGTGAAATACAAGATTTATCTTTTGAGAAGCAAGTTTCTATCTTTCTAATTGTTCATGTCATTCTTGGAGTCCCTGTTTTTTTTTTGAAGGGTGAGCACAATTTAATAATTTTAAAATAATAAATATTTCAAATTGAGGTGCTGCCGAATAGGTATGAAGCGTCGTATTCAAGATTCATCCGCAAAGTTTACCAAGAAGAGCTTATTGAAAATCTAGACATCTTGGGTATATTTTAGTTTAGGTGTTTATACTTGTGTATTAATACTTCAAGCACAATATCACACATACACACAATTCTTGTTTTTGAGTGATTTTGAAAAAAATATTGAGTTATTAGTTTTTAGACTTAACAATCATTATATGCATCTTTTATTAAGTTTATAAAATTATTTTATAAGGTTTCAAAACATTGTTTAACTCAAAAGTCAAAAGTCAAGAAGTTTATATACACATGTATTTACAAGTTCTGCAAAATAGTAAGTTTTCACAAATACGAGCTGATATTTCAAAAATTCCTTCTTTAACATGTTTTTTCATGTTTATAAATGTTACCCAAAGTTTTATTAATTTTGGAGTTAATTTGTTATGTTTAATTGAATTTACAAAATTAAATTTTATTAAGTTCATGTTCGTGTATGTTTTTGTAAAATAGATGAGTTCTCACAAATGAAAAATGAAAATTAAAAAATTATTTTTCTAATATGTTTTATTACGGGTTTATAACCATTTCCTAAAATTTTATTATTTTTGGAGTTGATTTACTATGTCAAATTAATTTTACGAAATCAGGTGTTTTAGCAGTTTTTATAATCTGAAATATCTATGTTCAAACATTTATTTCTCACAAATGGGTAATAATATTTTAACAATTCTTTCTCTAACATGTTAATCTACATGTCTAGAAATTTGTCTCAAAATTTTATGATTTTTGAAGTTGATTTAATATTTTTAATTAATTGTACAAAGTTAGATACGTAAAAATTTTAGAATCTGCCAAAACTGTTCCAACAGCTATATCATCAGTCGACTGATGATGTCATCGGTCAACTGATTAGTGTTTTGGCTAATTTTTCTAGTTTTGTCATTTTGTGGGTTTTTGTGAGTTTTGGGCTAGTTTTGAGAGACTATAAAAAGGCATCTACTCTCATTTCTTTGTTATGGAAGTTTAGAACAAGTTTTACAAGTTTTTGAGAGTTTGTTTCAAGTTTTTAAGAGTGTTTTAGTTTTGCTAGTTTGATTTAAGTTTAGATTCATTTTATTTATCATATTCACACACAACCATTGAGCTTAAAGTATTCTTATACATTGTGTAAATTGGGTTGGAAGCATGATTGAGTGAGCCTAACTTAGTTCTCATCTTGTATTAGAAAACAAACCATTTTTGTTGAGCTTTATTTGTGAGATCACTTTGTAATACACTTGCACACTGAGAGAAGTGTGTGGTAAGAGACGTGGTCGATTCCAAGAGGAGTGGCGTCGGTAGTAAAGCCTAGAGAGATGTTGTAAATCGAGCACTTGAGGAAGATAACACGGGTTAGAGACCAACACTTAGATGGTGTAGAGTGTGATTACATTGTGAGAGTTGTAGAGTTTTCGGTGAGCTGGAAAACCGAGATTGTGTGGAGAAGTTCCGGCTTCCAAACCGGATTTGTTGATATAGTGGAGATCTCCTCGAGATGAGGAGCGGAGACGTAGGTCAATGGTTGACTGAACTCCGCGATCATAGTGTGTTTCTGTTTGTCATTGGCGCACTTATTTTTGTGTTTATCTTATATCGTCTTGTCTCATTGTTTATTTCACCCACTATATTGTTTACTCTTGTTTGTATATCCTTGCATATATCTCATTGCGTATCTCATTGCTAGGATATTACATTAGTAAGTTTTAAATTGGCATGCATTAAATCGGATTAGATTAGTATACACCCTATTCACCCCCCCTAGGGTGCTTTTAATATTCATTATGTGTTTACATGTATATATGTAGCCGTATCCGATTTAGTGAATCTGGATATGAGTATGCCGAGGCATATCTTTATATACATCCATATTTGATAACCCGAATCCGGACCAGTTGCACCGCTAGATTTGATAGGCCGGTGATGATCGACGCCACATCGTTCTCAAATAAATACTACGATGCAAAAACCAAATCACCAAGAAGAAAGTGAGTGGAGGTGTTCACAATACATCATGGTGAAGTATATATGTTCAGGAGGGAGGGAGGGACAGGGACAGAGAGATATATATATATATATATAGAGAGAGAGACTCCTGTTTTTTAATCCCGATCCTTCTCGTCACACCTCACTTTCTATCTCCATCTCAACCTTGGACCTTCGCCACCATTACTTCCCGCCTTTTCCCCCATCACAATTGTCGAAAATAAGTATCATAGCACAGTCAATGATGAACGAGGTGATGACGAAGGATGACATAAACTAATTAATGACGTTGATAGTGGTAGTTAGTTACAAGTTTAGTTTTAATGAGGTTTAGTTGATGGTTAGAATAATTTAATTTAAAGTTGATGGTTAGAATCATGCTGTAACTAGATTTTAAATAAAATAGTTCAGCTAAAAAATATAATCCGGGATAAGGAGGTCACATGCTCATAATTTGATTTCATTTACAAAAATAAACACGCATCTCGATGGTTGTCGGGAGATAAAATGTGGAAATATATCGTTCAAAATATTAGGTAAAGTTGATGAGGCTTTTGGTGCTATTCTCATTAAGGCGGTTTGGGCTGAACTTTGGAAAAGATGACAAACGGTAGAAAATTTAACCTATATTTTTTGAGCTAGGAGTTTGTGGGAGTAATGACTAAGAATAAAATTAGACGAATTGACGGCATGCGAATTGCGAAGCATCGAACGATAATAGAGAAATCGGTTGGGCGGTCTAAATTGTAGAGGGATCGGGGACGGGCGGGGCCGCGGGGGTGGGT